AGCCCCAAATATATATTAAGAGTGTGTTTATCTCTTACATATTGTTTGGTTTATCCCTATTCAAAAATCCCAAAACATTTTCTCTGTTTTTCTTCTGATCCTGATTCTGAACTTCTGAATAATCGATTATCCTTAACTGATAATCGACTATTGTAGTCTGCAGATTCTTCTCCAAAGTACAAAACTTCTCATAATCGATTTTCAATAATTTGATAATCGATTATCGTCATCCTCAGGAAGTATCCAGTTTCCGAGTAAATCCTTGTAAACCGATTGTCTTGTAGAGTCAATCGACTTTTGGGTTCCTCAGAACATTCCCAGTTCTGTATCAGATCCTATTAATCGATTTACTGAGCTTGTTAATCGATTATCTCCCACTTCCAAATCCTGAGTGAATCATTTCCTGTGTTTGAGTACAACAGGGCAGCCCCCGGAATGAGATCAATCTTGTGTTGTATATCCCGTTTTGGAGGAAGGCCATGAGGGGTGTCATCGGGAAAGACTTGGGAATATTTTTGGATGATGGGTTTGGCTAAGGGATGGAGAGAAGGAGGGGCAAGGGCTGGTTCGGCCTCAAGAGTGTCAAGGAGAATGAACTCTTTGTGAGATTCGTATTCGTGTTGTTCGGAGTGTAGTATGGTAGAGAGGAGGATGGGGGGGGGGTGGCCGAATGAGTGGTAGGGGGTAGGGAAGTGAGGGTGATTTTTTTCTTATTCATGAGGAATGAATAAGTGTTGGCAAACCCGTCATGAAAAACTTTATGGTCAAAGAGCCAAGGCCTGCCCAAGAGAATATGACAAGCATCCATGGGTATAATGTCACACCATATCTCATCGGTGTAACTTTTTCCGATGCTTAATGAGACCAAGCTTTGGGAATCCACACGCAATCCGTTCCCGTGATTCAACCATTGGATCGTATACGGCTTAGGATGGGGCGAAGTTTTGAGCTTGAGTTTTTCAACAAACGTTATGGAAAGTACAACTTCCACTGTCCACGATCAACGTACACACCTTCTTTTGGATGGTACAACGGGTGTGGAAGATATTTTACCGTTGTATTTGTTCGTCCAGGGCTGCCATACTGCTCAAAGCTCTACGGAAGACTAAGAGCTCGCCTTCGTCTGCACAAGTGTACTCTTCTTCTCCTAGCTCTTCTTCGGCCCATGAAGGGCTGATTTCTTCTTCTTCGTACTCTGCTGATAAGTCCGTTTCATACTTATCATTTACATCATATTCTAAATGTTATTGTACGTAAATAATATTTAATCATTTCATAAAATGTGATTTCAATGAATAAAACTCTCATTTTCGTTCTAAAGAGTCATTAAAAAGGATTCCACATGAAATCATCATAAATCATCCATTTTATGTTCAAATACTTGAGGAAAAGGAATAAATCATCAAAGGATCAAGATTCGGGCTTGAACGGGCCTCCGGGAGGTTAAAATCGACGAGTGGGCCAAAAAGGAGCGAAATTGGGCCAAGATCTCGCACCAGCCGTGAAGCCCAACGAACCAAGGCCTCAAGGCGTCCAACTTGGACGCCTGACCAAGTTGGACAATTGGGAATTGGACGCCTTGGCTGGCTTGTAGTCCAAGGAAGACACGTGGCAAAACCTGGTTGGCCGGAACAGCTCAAGCATCCCGATCTTGACGCCTGGACTTGGACGCTCCTACTTGGATGCCTCGGCCTCTGTCCTATAAATACAGCGCGATCCACCTCATTCCATCATCACCTTCAGTCCCCATCTCGGGATTAGTGCTCCATATTTTAAATTCTCTGTTTTAGTTAGTGTATTAGTAGTTTTCGAATAATTTTCGGAGAAATTCTGCTCCAGTTCTGTTCTACTCCGCTTTTTACGGAAGTTGTAAGTTTTTCTTATTTAATAAAATGCTGTTTTAATTTATGTTTGCATAGTATGAGTTAAGGGTCCGAATCTCTGGGTCCGGACTAGTTTGGTTATATATTTTGAATGTTAAATTAATGTTGAGATGGTTAATCTATTGTTCTTGCCTTATTTGGTTAATTAAGCTCGTAAGATTTAATTAACTATTTACTCAGAAAATATTGTATGTCAAATGGCTATGATATTCGAGTGCAACAGATTAAGTACAAATCTAGAAATGGATGAGTAGTAATAGAAATATTATTATTCCAATTGTTAATTTAATATGATAAAATAAATCCAATTGATGTCCTCACCCTAGGTCCAGATCTGCACTTATACTATGTAAAATTAATTTATTATTTTTACTCTGCTCCCTTTTTATTCGTTCCGAGAAGACTTTCAAAAATCTATCCTAACCTTCGCCTAGTTAGAGTAATTAGACTAATTGCCTTCGTCCACTCCTCGAGAGACACGACACTCGGAGAGAAAACTAACCCTTTATTGGGAAGGTTTACTACCCGAAAAACTACGACTGTCAAATGGCGCCGTTGCCGGGGAGTGGCACGGCATTAGTTT